CCCCCCCCGGGGGGGGTTGGCTGGGGGATTCTGGGAGTTGAAGTCCACACATCTTGAAGTTGTTGAAGTTGAGAAACCCTGTTATAAGGTACAATAACAGACTCCTGGAAGCCTGCCAGAAATTCCCTCTGCCCCCTCTTGTACCCAGCAGAATCAAGGAGGGCTTGTTTTATTTTTTTTATCTCTTACACCTTCTCCTTTCCCACGGAGCTGCCATTGCAATGTCCTGGAAGGGAAGATGCCTTACACCAAAGCAGTTCATCCCTCTATAAAAGATAAAGTCTCTCTCAAGCTGAACTCAGCTCCTGGTGCCATCACAGACACCTCCATAGATTCTTCTGGGCAAGAGGACAAAGCTGGATTGCCAGGGCCATCTTCTGGGACATCAAAAGACCTCTCAGAAATAAGGAAGGGTTGGGTACCAGCACAGAAGGCAGAAAGGAGGCAGGCTCAGGGGTGCCCACGGTGAGCTGTGAGGTCAACTGGGGACATGATCTCAAGTTTCCTTGGTCCACATCTGCAGGTTTTGGCAAGTGATTTCCCTTGTCTGAAAGGGAAGACTGGAAAGGTAGAAGCAGTCACATCCACAGGGGTGGTCAAAGAAGTCAAGATGGTATCTGCGATTGCATGATCGAAGCCCTGCTCCATCTTGACTTTTTTGGACCACCTCTGTGGACCTCCCCAGGTAGGTCAGAACTGATGTCCCTGAAAACAAAACTTGGCATGGGTTTTAAGAGAGGGTTGATAAGAACAAACTAGGGAGGCTCAGAGGGCTTCTCTTTGCCCTGGGGAAAAAAAAATTGCATGTTTGAAAAATAATTAATTCCCAGATTTCTTGTAACCATACATTTCCTTGCCTTCGCTATTAAAATGTGCCTGGCTTCGTGCAGACAAACTTGCCATGTAATTTAACAGCAGAGTGTAATATTTAAAAAAAATTCAAATGCAAGCTTTCCTAATTTTAAATCACGCATGCAAATCCAGCCATTGTCAGTACAGTGGCCTCCAGCTATGAAATTAAACCCAATCACCTTCTAGAACTAAGTTGTAGGACATCAGCCCACCAGTGGCTAAATGGGAAAGTTTGGCATAATCTACCTCAACTCACGGCCCTGCTCTCTTTGGAAGGACAAAAGCTAATTGTGTGCTCTGTTGTTTTCTTCCTCAGTGTGTGGACAACCCAGCCGCGCTCTGCCTACCCTGGTCAAGCGTATAATCGGTGGGAGAAACGCAGAACCTGGCTTCTTCCCCTGGCAAGCGCTTATCGTGGTGGAGGACACCTCTCGGGTGCCCAACGACCGATGGTTCGGCAGCGGAGCTCTCCTCTCTGAATCCTGGGTGCTGACCGCGGCCCACGTCCTCCGCTCCCAGCGGCGGGACAACACGGTGATTGCTGTCTCCAAAGAACACGTCAACGTCTATTTGGGCCTTCACGACGTCAGGAACAAAATCGACGCGGTCAACCGGACAGTGGAGAAGATTATCCTCCACGAGTCCTTCGACATCCAGAACTATAACCATGACATTGCTTTGGTCAAGCTGAAAGAGGAGGTCACCATGGGACCCTACATTATGCCGGTTTGCCTGCCCCAGGATCAACATGAGTTGGAAGGACCTCAGCCGAACACGCTGGGCTTGGTGGCTGGTTGGGGTATCTCCAACCCCAACATCACGGTGGATGAAGTTATCAGTTCAGGGATGCAGACCTTGTCTGATATTCTGCAGTACGTGAAGCTGCCTGTGGTCCTCCACGCTGAGTGTAAGACGAGTTACGAGTCCCGATCTGGTAACTACAGCGTGACTGAGAATATGTTCTGTGCCGGTTATTATGAGGGGGGGAAGGACACCTGCCTTGGAGATAGTGGGGGAGCGTTTGTCACCCGAGACGTGGACAACCGGAGGTGGGTGGCCCAAGGATTGGTCTCCTGGGGTGGACCAGAAGAATGTGGCAGCAAAGAAGTCTACGGGGTCTATACCAAGGTCTCCAATTACGTGAACTGGCTGCAAGAGAAAACAGGGTGGACATTCCTGGACTCCGATCTGGGGGG